TCGAAAAAAATTGTGCATAGCTGCCATGAAAGTTGGTGGGGGCATTTGTCAATAAAAACAATCTTTTCATGGCCTTCTTTGATTCTTATTTGATGATATAAAGAATTGCAAGCAATCCAACAAGTCGTCTATGCACAGCAGTGGATATCGATTCTTGATATAAGAGCTCGGTAATCTACACAAAGACTCATCCCTTTTCTTAACAAAGAGAACTGGTGCACCAAAAGGGCTTTGGCTAGGTGAAGGTGGAGCTCGACTCTGCATGAGACACTCAATAAAAGGGGCTCAGAAAACAGGACTAGCACCTGGCTCTTTGTTCTATGGTGTGATCCACAGCTTAGTGAGGTGGACTTGAGTCCTGAGAAATTAAGTGCATTTATAGCACAAAACACTCAGAGCCTTTTCTTACCATCTTTATTGCTTGAGTAGCAGTCATAATCTGTAGATCATGCTTGGCTTGCATTTCATACTTCTTGCCAGCAACTTTCAGTTTCCTCAGATGGCGTCACTAGCTAATAAATGGATGTAGCCATTCTTGGCCAATTATCATATCCAGATGAGTGAGCTCCATCACAACAAACGAGTCAGCTAGGTGAACTGTTTGACCTTTATCTTAGAGGAAGCAAGCCTCTAGACGTTCGGGTAATCATCTAAGCTCTCACTATATGGAGAACCTGACCTACAGATTTATGCAAGAAACCTGAGTCGATTAATACCAGCACCTGGTGGCCTTCATAGATCCCAAGATGTCATGATGATTATGCTTGGACCACTCCTACAAACACCAGGTTTGCAGCAGGGCACTTACCACGTTGCTTATAATCTTCCTTTTTAATTTCCTCAGATTTTGGTGCTTCAACTTAATTCAGTTGTGCCTTTGTTGTTTTCATAGGAATGGTGTCCAGCTTCCCCACAGCTGTAGCAACTTGCCTTCATTTCTATAACTTGCTTTTTGGGCATTGGAAAGGAGACCCTTGGGCATGCCCATGACACAGCGACAAGCAAGGTAGCAAAGGAAGGCTCTATCTTTGACATCTAGCTGCATTTGTGACGCTTGTACTGTGATGCTCCACTGGGACTTGGATTGGAGTCTTCATGAGTGGCTACTATGAAACTGTTTGATATGGGAGAGATTTACAGTCTACCTGGGTTTGATGGCAGCAACATCCATGTGTTTATGGAAAGGTTTATAGATGTTAGTTGACTAGACATGCTAGCTGTTATCTCCACCTACACAGAAAGGAGAAGAGTTTTATCAACTGCTATTGAGAAGTATATTATGGAGACTGCACCTGCTACAGATTGGTTTATGGAGTTTGCATGAAGGATGATCACTGAAACAGGCTGGGAACTTGGAGTCTATCACTTTCTGAGGGATGATGTGGTTTTGCTGTGGAACGATCCTGAGACAGCAATCTTTAGAGAAGATTTGATATTTACTTACTATCTCTCAGGTAAGACAGTAAGAATTACATGATATCGTGATAACTTTTTCAGGTGCCAGACATGTGATTGTACCAGGATGGAGGAGAGGCATGACTCTTGTAGACTGTGGGTTTGCAACTCTCCTTGAGAGTAGTGATGGAGTGGAACCTTTTGCCCCAATAGTTCCATATATAAGAGGGGTCACCAATAATGAAGCTCAAGCTCCCGGTTTGCTAGTTACAATAGAAGGAGACATATGAACTTTAAAACTGAGAGGGGTGTCAGTGGTGCTGGTTAAAGAGATTGGGAATGTGGAACAACTAAATGAGTGTTAGTGAAGACTGGTATTTCATTTGCAACATATGGTTGAATAAGGTCATTTTGTGAAACAGGACCAGATGTGATATTTTTCCTATGGAATGGTAAGCTAAACAAGATTATGCTTGTGTTTGTATAGATCAAAATGGGAAGTGACCTTGAAGCAACTCAAGCATTTGCAATGCTATACATCATAAAGCTGGGCACGAAAGTGAATTCAGAAGGCTCTCACAAACTCAAAGATTGATGTTCCACTACGTACATAAAGCTGGTTGTGACAATAAGGAATGCCTACGAGTGAGAAAGCTAGCCTTTGGAGAAGGTAGAGTGAACATTTAAAAGGAAAACATTTGAAAGAAAAAGTAAGGGTAAGTTTTGAAAATTATGTGTTATTTAAACTTTCTGTGGTCTGTTCTATAGGTTCCACCTTTATTAGCTATTTGGGCCAATGAAAGGCTACATGGTATTATGAACACAGAATTA